GTTTATTAGTTAAACAAACAAATGCCGTTAAAAGAGAAGAAATGTCAACAAATTTATTATTAGACAATAGGAGTTATAAAATAATATATAGCCGTATAATATAACAGTATAACAGTACAGTATATGAGTCTATTATAATTGGCAAACAAGACAAGTGAGTACCAGTGCTTTTGTGTTTGTTTTACAGATTGCTTTCAAAACAATTGATTTTCATCGACTCTAAACTCAACTGACACTTTGAAACCAATGAATATCCAAATAAATTTTAATAAATGCTATCTCATAAACACATTGTCTTTATGTGTTTATTACAAATTTGTTATTATTAAAGCTTTAGTATCACTCTAAAAGTTAATACATTTTAATTCCTAGTTTAATGTATGACATGTCTAATATAATCCTAACAACAAAATTATTTTCAAAAAATTACCTAATATTTAATTGTCTATCACTTTCATGCACACTTATATTACAATATTGTACACTAAATGCTAGCATAAAAAAGATAATTATAAAGTTATAATAAATGCATAAAAATAAATCATCGCTAAAAATGTGTGCACTCTCTATATAAATCAATTTTGCAATACAAGATAAAAACTTATTTTCAGATTTTATTGTTTTAATTAATGCAAATTTATATACTGTATAACTGCTATATTATTGCGATATTACTTACTTTCTCTTAACTAATTCCCAACTTTGAAAAACAGGAGAACCGAAACAAATGAATAATAATTATTTTGTCACTCCATATAACAATCGCTGTCTTTTAATATCATTTTTTAGTCTAATTATTGATTTCATCTGCGAGTAAAAAATTTAGTTAAAAAGTCTTGAGAGAGAGAGTCTTGAAGTTGAGACAAAGTGAATGTAATGCTATAATAATGTCATAATATTGTGAGCATATATATAATATATACTGTATATATAATATGCCGTTTTTAGAGTTGACAGCTCTCCCCGGTTCTCGTTTTGCAATATTTAGTTATACCTATACTACTAGTGCTGTGTCAGTAAAAATGTTAGCCATGAAAAGCCTCTTCCGATTTCTTTATACTGAATGTATGAATTGGTTTCGATAGTGTTTCCGTTGCCATATATCTCAATGTTTGTGTTGATTCAGTCATCGGCAGCAGTGATGTGGCAATCAATTGAATCACTTAAACACAAATGTGTGCTGTAGTTGCCATATATATGCCATCCTCGATAACAACTACCCGAGCTTTAACAGTGCTAAAGGCCAGCAAAGGCTAAAGCAATAAGATTTGCTGAACAGAGAGTTTGTGTTGTTATGTATGGCATATCTATGGCATATCGCATAGCTTTTTAATAAAACAGTATTGTCTGAACCTTTCTAGCAGCTCTCTCTCTCTCTCTCTCTCTCAGCCTTATCTCAAATCCATTACTTCTGTACCTAAAACACAATACATAGACTAACATACATATTCAATGAGTATTTTCCGGTTAACATCACTGTTTTCGGGTGCTTACTATCCAAGTGCTCAACTGTTTTATTATTATTATTATTCTTTCAGTGTTATAACACTTCAATACTTTTATAGATAGAGATTGCAATTGAGATTCAATTGAAAGCTTATTCAAAGCTATAATGAATGCCGTGAGTCAAACACTTATCACTTAATAATTAACAATATAATCATTTTAAAGCACTTTTATTATACAATATTCTTATATTATTATTGCTGTTACAAACAATCTATAAATGTTACTCTAAATAAATACCTTAGATTTAAAACTAGAAATATTATAAATCATAAATTAATAATTATTGATAAATAAATGTCACTGCATTTAATAAGCAATTAAATTATTAAGTTTAAATTTAAAGTGAAAAATGATTTTTGCTAATTTACTGCAATTAATTAAAATATTATTATTATTAGCTAAATATGAGTAATTTAAACACTAAGAAACAAAAGATTTAACGCCTATAACATCAAATTAAATACTGTATAATAATATATATATATATTAAAGCGTTGAGAAAATGATTACAACGAAAAACATATGATTTAAGATCATTAGTGAAGAGAAAATTAGAGCCAATTGTTAATTAAGAAATGTTTTGATTATAATGTATAATATTATACATACAAACCAAGTGTTTTGGTAACAACTATAGCTACTGTACTTAGTGTTAGTTAGTTATTGGCGACCCATTGCACTCATTGCTGACAATTTGCCATTATTTTCATCAGTGGCAACACATTTACTACATATATATAGAGGCCATAGCCTAGTGCTGGGTTCGGCGCATACATAGCACAGGCAGCTGTTCACGATTTTCCAGTACAACGATTACAAAATTAGGTTAACGATCATTAAATGTGATTCTCATTGGCATCACTGGTGATCATCATAACCATCACTGCGACCACCAGTACCACCACTATCAACACCAGAGCCTATTCTATGATGCCGTGCCATCACAACCATCACAATGTAAACCCCTATCAGTGATGGTGAGGGGCTTTCATTTGTTATGGTATTGATAGTGGAGGACCTGCTGAGGCATCGCTTGATTGCAAAATACATTTGTGGCAATTAAGAAGAAACTATTGGACTCATCCATAGCCTTCAAAATTGATGACAATTTTTAATTTATAATTATACGCCTCATCGCTAAAACTCTCGCTCCCTCTCAACACACATACCAGTGCTACGACCGCTGTCTTTTAGTTTGTCATATTTATTATATGTATAATAAACTCCTGTATATCATAAAAATATTGATTTAGTGAATCAATTGAATGAGGAGTTTGACTAAGCATTTCATGTGAAGTGTGTCTATAGCTATAGCCTATAATGATTGACCCCTTCCTTGTCTTATGTGTTATAATTAATTTGGTCAATACATACTTGTTTGTCATTTTCAGTCACAAGATATTATTTACACCCATTTGTGAGACCACTAATTATTAATATATCGTTTATTGTATGACATTCCGTGTACTGAATCTAACCTAACCTATAATGAGTGTTCATAACTCCTAAAAACATTTGTTAAATTAAAGATACAATACATTGCACATACACTGTCTATAACAGGCATAACATAATTATTTCATTTGTTTATTATTGTCATAAAAATAAATATTATTTAGTTTGATATAAAAATTTCCAAACAGACTATTGTTTGCTTTAATTTGAAAGCATTTCTCTGTTATTGTTAAGCAATACATTTATAATAAGTTAATGCTATATATTATAAACAATCAATATTTATAATAAAGTTAATAACAATAAAAATAATAAAACAACAAAAATTTTTGTTTTCAAATGTTTTTTACATACTATACTAATCTATAAAATATTTTTTTTCTATTGTTATTTTGTATAATGTATGTGATTCAGATTATAAAACACAATATATATATAACTACATTTATATATATAAATAATAATTATTATTATTATTATGCACATTAACGGTTCACTTAATGGTCTGTTTTATTAGAAATATATTGTATATATATATATTAATATATATATTGAAATCAAAATTAAATATAATTATTTGTCAAGTGAAAAAAGATGATTTTGCAAAATTTATTTCCAGCTTTTATTATTTATATATTATTACAGAGTATATTTTGAAATGATTTTTATATATATTATAATACTGTATAAGAAAAAGCTATCATTTTTCACATTTCAGTGAATACGACATTTGGGAATCAATGGCATTGAATTTTTTTTGTAATATTAGTTTAGCCATTAATCGCAACGATTAAATTGAGAGAAATGAAAAATATTTTATTTATTATCTTTTATTTTAAACACTTCTCACTATTGCTACTTATTTGCAGATTTCCAGAGTTCACTAAAATAATATATAGTTTTTGTAATAAAAAATTGATAAACTAATCAATTTTTGCTTTCATAATGAATACCAGTGATTGGCATATATTTGCGGATCGCTTTGATTTTTGCTAGTTATGTAAATATTTAAATTAATTAATACCAATTAAAGGCTTATATGTTTAATTGAGTTATTAAGGGTGTTTCAAAAATTAATTAAATATTTATTATATAAATTGGAAATAATAATACAGTATTATTATTATTAAAATGCAAAATATTTCTTATCAGTTATTAAAGACTCAACTCATATAATATAATAAAATGTATACATTTTGTTGTATACCACTGTAGGTTTGACTCGGCACTCATTATGTTTATATAATAAAATTTGTTAAACATGATTTTGAAATATGAGAAATTATAGATAATATTGAAATAAATCAAATCAAATTTGTTTTCATTTAAATCAAATTTATTTTTTTTATTTGATCATTGAAATTACATTTTTTAGACATTATATACAAATCAAGTGAAATAACAAGTTATCAATAAATTAGTTTATCCTACAACTTTGAATTGAAAATTTCATGTTATGCTTTTAAAATTATCATAATCAAAATAAAATAATTATATACATAGTCACTGTAGACATATATATACTAAACATATGAAAATATAATTGTTTAAATTGAAAAATTTAAATCACTATACAGAGATCAATTTATAAGACTTTTTTGAAGCTATATAAATAACTTAATAATGTAAAAGTATAATTAAAAGTAGATAATTGTATTAATAATAACTAATTATTTAACAAATATTTATGAAAGTGTTTTTGGGTTTTGTCTCATCATTTTATAGTTAAAAACAGTTTATAATGTAATTAATTCATTTATTTAATTATGTTTTACTTATATTTATATTAAAACATATGAGACGAGCAATAAAACATTAACTTTTAAAAATTACATTTTTTATTTTACATATATATTTTGTTAATGTGTTGAAACAAATTGAAATATACAAATTGTCATAAATATATAATTATATTTAATAATGTAATTAAATTAAATATAAAATTGATTCTCACATTATATTTTGGTGTATTTGTTTTTCAATAAAATATGAGTTTTATATTATTTTTGGTATTATATTATTACTTGTTGTCTGTCCTGTGATTTGTCACTCAATTTATGATAGTTTTATCTCTTCTTTAGCCAAATTATATCATTAAATAATATTAGTTCACATTATTATTATTTACTATAAGTTATTTCTGGTTTACTATATATGAGCTATAGTTTTCACGTAATACGTATTTGTAATAAATTATTTAACAAATACATACATTTATATAATTATTTGTATATTTATTGTCGTTTGTCCTCAATTTAATAGAATAGGACTGACCTTAAAGTTAAGGCAAATGCCATTGCAGTCGATCTTTTAATGTTTGTGAGGACAGCATATCGATGAATAATATTGATAACAACGACAATGAGCTGATCGATGGCATAGAGTCCTAACGGTATTAACAATCAATGGCTAGTCATAGATGTCTTGAAAACTTCATTATCATGTTTTGTGGTCCAAACCAAACACTTGATAATATTATTCTTCGCTTAATTGCAACTCAAATGCTTTAATAATCTCACATTTGATATGCTTTTGTTAAATGTATTCAAGTTTTTTCAAGTGCTTTGTACACAAACTCATATTATATTATAGATAGAAATCAATTGTGATTTGAAATTTTTGTTGTGAATCACAAACTACATGAATGTTCAGTAAATAAAACAAAAAGTTATGTCACATCATGTTATGAAACATTATTATAAACATCATTAATAATATTTCTGTACAATTATAGTATCGGTTGACGATTAATATGAAGACAATGAGTTTAGTTGGAGTTCAATGTATATTATGTTCAATAGATATATGTATATTAAATAGTCTTTAATGAGTGAATGATCACAAATGTCACGATTTAACATTACTAGCAGTAGTTCGCTCACCAATACTAGTGATGGTCTTATTGATGGCCGCAATGTTGTCCGTCGATGAGCCGCCAGTCAGTGAAGAGCCGGCCATTGCCGCCGCTGCTGAACGTAACCTATTTAATGAGGACTCAGCGGCGGCAGCAGCGATATGTGGCGGAACATTATTGTGAGCGCCTACAGGTCCCGTTAAATGACCCATAATGGCTGAAGGAGGACATGCATACAAAGGTGAAAATGCCGCTGCACCGGGAGGTACGCCACCAAAGTTGCCCGCATTATATAAGTGAGCGCCAGGTTTTGAATATGGAGCTAAATATTCAAGTCGTGCGGCTCTATTGGCAGCTATAGCTGCAGCTGAGGCAGGAATGGGTCCAAAACCAGGATTGGCATTATTAGGGAGTTGTTTGTTAGCCAACAAATTCGGTGGTAACAGTGAGGAAGCGTTATTACTGGTCGCTGTTTCCACTATAGACCAAATTCTTGGCTTATTTAGAGGTAATGCATGGTGTGGGTGAAGATGAGTGTTCATTGGGTTTCCATTATTAGCCGATTGTGAGTCTGAATCTCCGATATCGGAAAGGGATCCAACATCAGAAAGTGGTGATCCCGTGTCTCGCCTTTTGGTGCCATCGAGATTGGAGTCGTCTTCAATATCAATATCAGAATCGCCTGAAGTAAGAAATAGTGTTTTAACAATTAAGACAAAACAAGTCGACACAAAAGGTTAGGTAATATATTATATCATTAATATTATTACAATTATAGTGTATTTTGTATGTTTTAGTGCAATGAACTTAAAAAGCGTTGTATTATATAAAATATTGTAAAAAGAGATGACAAATAAAGAGATACTATTAAAAATCATTTGATGTAAAACTCATAACTCAAGTGATAAAACAATGAATCCTTAACCTTAACGACTGTCACGAAATTAAATTGCTTGAGAAGATAGAGAATAGGGAGGACAGGGCTCAGGTAGTAGTTGTAGTAATAGTAGTGTTGTTCTTGTTTTTGTTGTTCGTATGTCATGTTTAGAAGTTGCAGACAAACGGATGGCTAATTAATTTTCAGTTGTACGGCATTGTTGTCAATGTATACATAATAAAATGTATTTAAAAATACTGCTATAAAACTTAAGACAAGAGAGGAGATACCAGTGCTATAAAGGCTGTGCATTATTCGACTATAAATAATTATTTTGTAATACAACCGCACAATCACTCGAGTGGGACATACAATTAAAATGCATTACCTGAACAAAGACTAAATTAGACACCAATACTACCCATGTTATGACACAACTTATAATATATGATGGCTCCTAACATTGGTAGGTATAGGAGCTCTTCAATTATAAATACTTTTAATATTGTTTTGTTTCAAACTTAGCTTAACTAAAAAGGACTACAATCCGGCTAAAACAATATACATATATATTGTATAAATTGTGATAATAAATATAAATATATAGTTGTTTTATTGTGTGTGCCTTGAGATTGTCATAATAATAGCAATGCACTAACACTATAGCTAAAGCATAGGTACGGTGTATATATCGTATAAGTTATTGTAGTGTTAGTGATATTTTGGTCTCAAATGTCATTACACGCTCAACTGGCACTCAAACAAACATACACTGGCATACCCTACCCTACACACTGTTAGTGACATTAACACAGGTTAACCTTAATGTTTAATCACAATATCACCTGCACTTCACTCACAGGGAGTCAAAGTGTGTGAGAGAGAGAGGATATGCATTGTTTAAGAGGTGAGCCCTGGCTTTGCAAATGATAGCGACAAAGAAAGCATTTGTCGGACAACTAATTGCTGGCCTAACGTATAACTAATATAAACTGCAAACAAATGTATTGATAATTAATTACTACTGACCTTCGTCTCTGTCTCTCCTGCGAGAGTCGGTCTCTCCATCGCCATCCTTGCCATCGGCATCGTCGTCGTCATCGCATCTATTCCTCGGAGACCACGTCATCTTATTTTCCTTTTTAAGTCGTCTCCTAGCGTTGGCAAACCAAGTGCTCACTTGTGTTAATGTCATTTTCGTGATGATGGCTAACATTATTTTTTCACCCTTTGTAGGGTAAGGGTTCTTCCGGTGCTCATTAAGCCAGGCCTTCAACGTACTGGTTGTCTCTCGAGTGGCATTCTTGCGACGGGCCATACCGTCCATCGCATATCTTTCACCATAAGGGTTATAGATGGGGTCATAGAGGTAGCACGTAGTCTGTAGTAAAGGTCCCCAACCGTTACCATTTGGGTCCTCCAAGTCATACGGATTTCCCTAATATTTAAATTTCAATATATTTAATAAACATTTTCAACAACTTTTAAAAGCTTTACTTTATTTAACGTAAGCTTTCCTTATATAAACTTATATTATATTATAATAAATAAATAGTTAACAATACTTACAATTAATGGGTAAAAAGGATTGGCTCCGGGAGGATAAAATGCATTTTGGTCGGCATGGGGTGACCCGTAAAAGCCACCTAAACGTGATATAAGTCGCGGATCATATGGATTGATGGGCGCACACACCGATGGGGTCGACGGTGACATTGGTGTAGGTGTTGGGCCGACTGTCGGCGATAAATGGTTGTCCTCTGTTGTACTTAAGTTCATAGTGGGAGTACTGTTCACATTAGTCGTATGACTTCGGCTATCAGTGCCCGCACTGGACGAACAACACGGAGAGTCTGTGGTCGAGTTGTTTGAATTGGATGTCATTTAATTATATTCAACGCAAAAGCTATGGTATGATAGCCTGTGCTGAGAGTTGTGTTGAGAGAGTAGTAGTTGTGGTTTTGTGACAATTTGGTGACACTTCTTGTAATATACAATCACAGCAATAGTGTTCAGACATGTGGTGTCAGTCAATGGTATTACAAGTTTGTCGTCAAATGTATTGAACGTTAAATAAAATGCAAAGCACTGTTCACTACAAGCTCTCAGTCATTCATTGCCATCGATTCACAGCTTATTGTCTAAAAACTGGTGGTTAAGGCATACAAGCAAACATCAGTGCAACATATCTACTGGTGCTGTGTGTGTGACCGCCTACACTGGGTTTAGACAACACTGCTATTGGTTAACGTGTTGTTTAACAGTGCATATCCCTCGTAACAACACTGGTTTACAAGTGTATGTGTGTGTATATGTATGTATGTTTGGCCGCACTTACCTACCAGTAGAGGCCATGCAATCGTGTAACACAACACATGTTAACACATCACTACACTATACCATACAAATATTCCGGGGGTGTGTTACCAATGTTACCAACATCAATGACATGACCACCACTTTATGACCCCTACACTCACCAATGACGTACCATATGTACTACCAGTCCTACCAGAGCACCGATATGTCAATTGCCCCACACATCTCACACATGAGATTTTATACGGACTTACATACGGCCACACAATACCTTTAATAGTCGATCAAATTTCTAACACTATATGCAACTGTAACTACATTTTTGTCAAACATTTTTAACATTGTTTAACAATTTTTTATTATTGTATTTTTTTATCTTACAAAATAAAAGTCGATATTTTTAAATAAATATAATTAGTTTATTATATTTATTTATAACAAATAATTAATTTTAAACAAATTAAAATTTTAAAAATATATTTTACAATACTGTATATACATATATACTAATTTATTTATATAATCAAATATATACTTTATATACAGTATATAATAATTTATACCAATTGAATAATACAATAGATACTGTAGGTATGTGTGTTAATTGAAAATTTAATAAAAAATAGAAATGCATAATAAATAGTTAACTATAACATAGAATTTGGATCCATTTTCACTATTTTATTGATTATTTATTGAAATACTTGTTATAACATTTGATGTACTTTTTATTATACAATATTTACAACTATTGTTTGATTCAATATAAGTAAGTTTTCTGTGATTACTTTGGAGAGCATAACAAAAAAAAACAGATCTTATTTTGCGATTCTCAAAATAAGAGCTCAAATCATATTCAAAAACTCTTTACATATAAAAATTATTTTATTTTATTTAGTAATTTGTTTGTTATTGTGTTATGTTTTTCAGTGCTTACATTTACATTAGTTTTACAACATTTTTGAAGTGAGGCACACAAGTAGTTAGTGACTTGTTTTTATGTTTTTATGTATTTATTTGCTATACAAATAATTCACAAACAGTTTTAAACATTTTAGAGCTGCTCTTAAATCTATTGATTAGTTTAAAAGTGAGAGAGAAGTCAAGTCTCTCTCTCTCTCTCTCTCTCTCTCTCTCTCTCTCTCTCTCAATGGTATTGGCAGCGCATCCATACATATATAAAGTATTGAATGAATGCCACACACAGACAAACTGAGACAATATGCTTCACTAACAGTGCTATTACAGGGCTGTTGCCATCAATTACTTGTTATACCTTTTTTCAGATAGTCTTTTAACTACATTTCTCATAACCATTGGGTTGTCTATGTGTGTGTGATTATGTATAGTCAAACTCATTAACTTATTTGACATAATGAGCGCAAACACTAATTGGCAACACTTTTATAAATGTGTTAAACTCTAAACCAAAGCATCCAAACCTTGTTTTTTGTTTGTCATTGCATTTAACTTAACTTTTCTCTTGCTTTCTGTCTTTCAACTAATTAATGTCTAAAACCCGCATAAGTATTGTATGCCAATCGATGCCAATATAACTATAACTATATATATATATACTGTATATATAGTTAGTTGTGTTGGGGTTTTCTGTTACTATAATTACAAACACAACATTTGACTAAACACTCCTTAAGAGCTGTTAATTAGGGATTGAGTTCACTGTTTGACTGTTAGTAATAAGCAATAAGAGTGACAAAAGATAAACGATTCAAAGCTATAGCATATATACAGTGTATAGACATATATATTGTGTGAGAGAGTGAGACACTTGGCTTAAAACATTGCAAACAAATCCCATCCATTGGATAAATAGTTAGCTTTAAGGATAGTTTTGGACAAACTTTAGAGAAACATTAGATGTGAATGAATGACAAGTAGTGTTAAAATTTGTGTGCAATACGAGTGTAACAGTGATTGCAATGACGGAAACAGTGGCGCCAATGGCCAGAAGTCAGTCATCTCTTTGACATTAATGTCACTCAATTGCCGTCCATATACTCGATATGACCACAAAAACACTTTATTTTTAACTGCATTTTTACCATTTCAACAGTTATTGAATAATATTGAAAAAAGTTTACGTGAGATTACAGTCATCGACATTCAAGTGCTATGTGTTAGCACTGTTAGGCCGCTCTCTCTCCTGTCGATGCTTCAGTTGATGCCAACTCTCCAAACGTGTGATAACAGGTTATCTGTATATTAATATCAGTATTGTTAGCATCAGTGCTCCACCTAATGGTCTAACAGTGCAATCATTAAACAGTTCACAGATAACAAGCTCTTTAATAATCGATTTTTTGTTAGTTTGAGATCAAAGTTATTGTTTGCACAACAAAATTAAAAACATTTAGTGTTTGATAACAGCTATTAATATACACCGTATATATTAACTAATCAAAAGTGATTTATATTATCTTCTATTCATTGCATTTACACTTCAAAAGCGGTTGTCTTTAATGTTAGGATTTTGTCATCAAACATATGATACCTTAGTTTTATACAGTATTATATTAGTGATAGTATTATTATTATTATTATTAAATAACTATAATATTTAATACCGGAATTAGTGAAACGCTACCTAAGTTAGAGATTTTTGTTTCAGAAAATAAATGTTTTTTATCTAAATTAATATTGATTTATCTGTTTTATTGTGCAAAACACGTAAACTCATAACTTTAATATTTCTATACTAAACACTTGAACACAATTTTTGTTAAGTAAATACAAATAAGTTATTAAATGTTTTTTTATTGATAATAACAAACTTTGGCTCATCATAATTTTATTATAATTATAATAATTTATAATGTATTTGTTATATTGATAGTCGTAAAAATTACTATAAATAAAAGAGACATTGATATAACTTGCTTTTAACATAAATAATATTAAAATTGGTTTATTTCTTAAATTACTAAATAAACAGTTTATATTAATATTTATATTAAATACTTTGGAAGTTTTAGAAATTAGATGTTTGGCAGCAATTGACAAGTGTTAAGATATTATATGTTTTTGAATAAACAAAACATTTGAATGCCAAGGCTATTGTTATTTCATTATTTTATTATTTCTTAATTAATTTATATTACATTTATTGGAAACTTCCATATATTTATTAAAATATTTAATTAGATTATTTCAAATAACCTTATTATTATAAAGTTATTATTTAATTAATTGTTAATAAATAAATCACTTGTGATAAGAAATGGTTTGTTATACTGTATATGTTTGCTCACTTCACTATATAATATAAGACAATAATTGCAATTAAAATGAAAACTTGAAAAAATGTTAAGATATCAAGAGATTACTGTATTATTTGTGCTCTTATTTGTCGATAATTTTATTTTTACCGAAACTTTTTAATTTATATTTAAATCCAACAATTTGTGATAATGTCTTACATGCGATAAAATTGTTGACTCAGTTGTTGAGCATTGAAAATAAAAATATGTCTAATTGTATATATAATATAATGATAAATATATTAAGTTGTGTGCAAATCATGTTACTGTAAATGTTAAATATACCGAAATACCAGTAATCAGGAGCTCTTAAATGAATACAAATAATGATAATAATAGTAATAATAATAGTAATAGTAATAGTAATGTTGCGGTTTCTTATCAAAAGTCAAGTAAAAGCTTAAACTGTTTTTGATTGGTTCTAATCTATAATCGATAATTCAAGTTATGTATGTATTTACTATTTAATGGCAAACAAAGATAATATTAATATTAATAATAATAATAATGTCAATAACTAAAAGGTCTTTTGTGTTGTTCATAGTTATAGCGAGTGCTTTCAAATGGTTTGAAACAATGATAAAACAGTGTATTTCTATGTGAGAGAAGTCCCGATAGATTTAAGTCGTTATTATAAATATGTTTGATTTATGCCGACACTAATCAAAACCAGGGCGACGACACAGATTAAGGACTGCCCGCTATTGACGATACATACGGTATATATATATATATGTGTCCCAATGCTCATCAACACCACTCTTGTGCATCACTTCTTCAGCACCAATCTCTCCCTTTCCCGACTTTTGTTCAGTTTTATGTCAAACCAACGCTTGAATCACGGGATCCCTCTTTGACTTTCAAATACCGCTAATCCCCACAATCTTCTCAATATTTAATACAACAAATATTTTCACATTAGTTTAAACATATATCCATTTATAGAAAATCTTATTTTGATTTCCAATTTTAGACACATATTTTATAATCATTTTTCCAATAATATGTCATAAACACTGTTATCACAGCTTTCAGGACTTATAAATATGTTATTTGATGTCAACGACTAATGTTTTACTACTAGTGATAAATACAGTATTATATATTATTTTATTTAAATAAAGTCAATTTATGTTTGTTAAATAATAAAATTTCATTAATTTAATAAAATTACAATAATATTTAAATTATTTTGATTAAATAATTTTACAAAGATTTTATAAACGAAATACAAGAAAAATCATATTAGAATTAATTAGTTGATTTAATGGGATATTATTTTTAACAAATTTATTTATTTATTTTATTTTAATAAATTCAATGAATTAAGTAACTAAATCTACAAGTTTATAGATTTCATTACAATAATACATTGTTTAAGCATTAATTAGAAATTACAATACGAAAAGATTACGGCAATATAATTGAGGAAATACTAAAAAACCATTGAAATAAACTTCAATATATACTGTACTTATTTTTTATTGTAGTGCTTATGTGAAAAACAAGTGTATTAACAAAAAAGTGTCGGCAAAAACATATAAATATCTCATGAATTGTTGATTTCATTAACAATGAAATACAGATATATATTATTAGGAATTAAGAGTTGAGAAAAAGAGATTGACTTCAATAATGTTTGTTTGTATTGACAACAATATCACTACATTTAACTTAGTTTATAATATGTGCTCCAAATTGTGGTCATTCACTTCTCAAGTGTACAAACTGTCTACAACAACAACAACACAACTATTACCAGTACTACTACTACTACTACTACTACTACTATTACAGTACTATTGCTACTAATATTACTATTACTACTACTACTATGAACGGCACAATTAATGGTTTCCCAAAACGCCAACAGATTAAATGTCACACAGT